TTTGAAATGCTTTCGCTGTGTCTTATGGCAAATTTGACACAAGCATGACAATTAAGTTAGCCCAAACATTGGACTAAAACTAAAGTAAAAAAGAAAATATTTGCCAAAAATTTGCAAAGCAAAACCTGCGGATAAATTCATGAAATTATTTCTAATTAGGCTGTTATACAGAGCACAGCTACGCCAGAAGGTTCTCAAACCTAGCCAAATGCATGCTAACAGAGAAGTGAGTCTGCAGAGGAATTTCTTACAGATAAACTAAAATACATTTTATTAATAAACACAGATGATAAAACTGCAACAAGAACCTGAAACAACCTCGGTAAAAAAAAATAAAAAAAATACCCAACCAGACAGTAAACTAAATAAATAAAAAATTACCCAACCAGACAGTAAACTATAAAATCTATTTAAGCACAACTGCTACTTAAGTGAGCAGGTGTGGTGCATTTCTTGCTAAAGGCTTAGCATATGTAGCAGTTAAAAATGAAACACAATGATTTTAAATGATTTTAATTACATTTTAATTTTCTGCTCACCTTTCAGGTTTAATAGTAAGCAGTAAAATGCAGATTGTTGACCTCTTTGAGGTGAAGTACTTACATGACTCCAGTTTTGCATAACCAAACTGTGCCTTAGGTGCTTCAAGGTGTAGCCACAATCTTCTATAGTCATCTCTACAGTTGCTACAGCGCTGCAGTCAGTTTGAGTTCATGGCTCCTCTACTCAGTCCTGGTACTGGTACTGAGGTCTTAGATCAGGGTCAAAAGAGTGACCGTCGAAACCACCAACATGTGGCCCTCAACTACATGTTGTTATAATGTCATCTGACCATTGATAAACTCAGTTCAGTTTGGCCGGGATATGGCTGATATTCCAAATACCGTGATAGCAGAGCTGATTCTCCAAAAAAGCCTGGACTTCAGCGTTCTGGACGAACTGACACGATTTGTCAAAAACTTTTTGACTCGCCGCCCACAAATGCCCTAAAATTGAACAGTGGGGCCAGATCAGGAGCAGATAGATGGAGTGTTCTTTTGAACTACGATAAATGACATGTAAAAGTCATGCATAAAGACTAAAATGCTTTTATCATTTTCCACGCCATCTATTGGGAAAATGTGGATATTTCAGGGAAAAGTCAAAAGTATAATGATAATATAAATAAATTATATAATTTGGAAAAGTTTGTTAGGCCAGTTTTACAATGTGAACGGGCCGCATCCAGTCCCCGGGCCTTAGTTTGACCATGCCTGGATTACACAGTCCGTAGGACTTCTACCGAAATTTCAAATAAAACTTCAAAAGAACCTACCATTTGTTTAAATATATGAAGGCCAGAGTTGCCAGTTAGAGCTAATAGTTCAGTGGACCACGTACACGTTATCAGCAAGACCCATTCTTATTAATCATCTACCACAAAATACCAGCAGTTAATTCACTCCACCATTCACATCTATGGTTAATTTGGAGTGAACAGTTAACCAGCTTTTGTTAAATGTGTGTGAGTGAGAACTAGGAGAGCATGGAAACGCTACAACAGGATTCAAACCCACAACAGGGTGGTCTACCTGCTGTTAGGCTAATGCTAACCACTACTGTAGCCTAAACACATATTTCTAATAGATGAATTTTGCAAACAGAAACACAGATGTGTTTTAATCCCTGGTATAAGCTCCCAGGGAATGATGTCATGCAGTAGTCAAGCTGTGCTATATACATTTAAAAACAAACAAACTTTAAACCTGAAATAACTGAAAGGCTAACTCCCAGGGGGAGAGAGGCCTGGGATCCACCACTAACAAACAAACAAACAAACTTGACCACGTGACCAGGCTAATTCAAGCACCTGAGTCCATGTCTCGTTTTTTCAGCCTCTACATACCTGAGCGGAGATAACAAGGTGAGTCACACACTCACACACACTTGTCAACCTCGGTGTGTGAGCAGACACGGACGCAGGGACGTGGGATTCAGTGAAACGCCAGATTAGATGACGCTGTAGAGACTGTGCTCAGGCTTTACGCTGCGGCTCACCTCAGCTGACCTCTTCCTCCATCTCTGTCTCATCCTTCCTGTTTCACCAGGCGCTGTCACGGTCCCTGCAAGGCAACAGCACCCCCTGTAGGATCAGGGCGGCGCTTCATCCCAGAGGCCTTGAACTTTGACTCAGGAGATAAATTATTGTTTCGTTGTTGTTTGTTTTTCATTAATTAGTTTTTTTTTATAGTCTAGCTTTAACTCTCACTCAATTTAATAGACCTAATACAAAAATAAATATTAATAATTTTGAATTTTAAATCGCATCCCCTGTGTATTATTATATCCATTTACCTGAGTCATATTTTAGGATTTATGTGAAGACTCTTTGGAACAGTTAGAACCATGTCTCGAACTGACTAAAACCCTTTATTAATTTCATATATTCAGTTACACATGTGTATATGTATATATATATATATATATAGAGAGAGAGAGAGAGAGAGAGAGAGAGAGACTAGAAAAAATATATAATTTAAAAATATTTTTAATAAATTAAATATTAAATTATAATATATTAAATATATGGATTTATGAGATTATTTGTTTAATTGGAATATTTAATTTATTTTTATTTTATATATATGTATATATATATGTATGTATAAATCATGACGCCTGAGAGACAATGGTCTGAAAGTTAAAACAGTCTGGAGCCATATCACTCAGAGAATACTGTAAAACATGTAGGAAATGATGAAAAGGCCGTGCATCCAGGGATAGGAATTGTACAGGTGATACAGAAATATTTCCAAAGTAAACCTCAAAACTCAACGTCAAAAATGTTCCTGTCAGTTCAGGGTGAGTTTCATTTGTGTCTGGGAGGTGAATTAAGACGAGGTTCCTGAAACGAAGCGTGTTTCTTCTTATACAAATACATTTCCTTCATATCATTTCAGTGACTCTCGGGGTGCGACAGTCTCACACGCTCCTGCACACAGACAGATATATTTCTCTCCTGTCAGAGCAGCCGGCGGATGTCTCCGAGCCGCCTGTGGCCGTTACCTGCAGCTTGTGACGTTCCTGTGGTGCTGACGGTTTTCCCCTCCAGTGATCTGTCAGTGCTGGCTCACAGCCATCAGTGAGTCAGGTAGGGGCAGGCGAGGACAGCCTGGCAGAACCACTCTGGAGCCTACATGGCCAGGTGAAGCTGTGGGATTGAGGGAATCACGTTGTCCTCTGACCCCAGTCACGTCAGATTAAATTATTAAAGTGGCTCAAATTTTTGGGGGGGATGAGGCACGAGTACAAACTGTTCTGCCACTCTTCAGCTCACATTTCCTTCCGGTGTGATCTCGGGATCATAAAAGTGGTGTCTCTTTAATTTTTATTTCCCATGATGCCCTAAAAGTATACCCCCCCCCCAGTGGTAAAACACCTGGGCAAGAGCAGTGAAGCTGGCAGGAATCCAGGCCCTGCACATTCTTGCACATGAAGTACAGAAAAGAGACGTTTGACGAGGAGGAGGAGTGACATCCAGGCTGCCGGTTCAGTTCGGGTCATGGGTAATATGCATAAAGCTGGAGTGGGAGGAACGGCTTTGATAATCTTTCATTATGACCGAGGTCACAGCACATTAAAGCATCGGACTTAGAGCGGCTCGCAGCTGTGCTGTCGTGTCTGCGTCAGTGTTCGTCGTCGCAGGAGCTTTTACTTCATTTCATGGTATTATGTTGACGTACATACATACATACATACATGCATACATACATACATACATACACATCCCTATTGTGTGCATACAAAGCATATCACCCTTGATTTAAATCCCTGCATTTAATCTTTAAAGTTTGATGTCATCGGCCTATAATCTTGCTCTTTTGCACGACTTTCCCAGCTGACTGTGGTCAGTGGGCTGCTGATTTTTTTTATCAAATAAAATGTATTTATTATATATATTGTGTAGTAATCCATCTGGCGCAGGACACTGGTCCGATTCTTATTTCTCTGAGCAGTATCGGTTTAAAGCCACATGTCACTTTCAACAAAAGATGCAGGTAAAATAAATACCACTACTGTATATACAGTACTGTGAATATTTATTTATACTGAGAATATAATCAATTATTTTATAAATTATTTTGTCAATCAGGTTCTAATTCATACTTGTCTTCAGTTCAGTAAAAAGTAATTATGTGAAACAAATTAAACACCGTCCTTTCCTTTCTTAAAACATTCCTGCCTAAATCCCAACCTACATCGTTGATGACTGGCTTAACAGACTGTATATTAATGTCACCTCTTTGCGACGATCTGGGTCCCTCTAGTGTTTGAAAGAGAGAACTGCCGGAACATCGACTCACCGATGCGTCCCTTCAGGTGTTCCTGACAAACAACCCGTACTAACTTCCTCACAGAATCGGTAAAAAAAAAGTCTTTCATATGGTAATAATTTTCCAGAAAAAAACAAAACAAAAAACCTCCTCCTAGCATAAGGAAAGCAGATAGATTTTGCCCTCTTGTGGGTTGATTAGGTACTGCACTGCAAGATGAACCAATCGTAACACCCATGTAATACCACACCAAATCACCTAAATGGAGGGGAGTTGCTAATGTTCTTGCCTTTTAGCAGTGGCTCCCAAACTGGGGGGCGCAGAACAAAATATTTTTTTTACATGTACCACAGAAGAGAAAAAGGGGAGGAGGCATCAGTTCTAACTACTGTATAAAAGGAACGAGGAGGGGGTTACAGTGTTACAGGAGTTGATTATAAAACCTGAGTTGTACTCCCCCCCTCTTCCCTCCTCCCCCACAAAAAACTGAGGACACCAAACTTATTGAAACATTCTCAAATATATTTTGGTCAATCACAAAGTACTGGAGAACTGTGTCTTACCAACTGGTCTCCCACCGCTTGTCGATCGTCTTCAGCAGCGTCTTCATCATTGTCCCATCAAACGTCCCACGGATTTGTGCACCCCCACTTAATTAAAGCCAAAATGGATGCGTAATTGAAAATATATATTGAAATAATCTCTTTATTCATTCTACATAGTTGTACACCACTTAAGACAGTGATAGGAGAACACCACAGGCTTCAACAGGTTCTGGTTTGTTTTGTTTTTTAGGATGATGGAAACTTTGCAGAATATGTCATTAAAAATAAAAAATAAAATAAAATAATTTTTTTTTCCACTTTAAAAGGTACAGACCGGAGAAATCACACAGTATGTGCCAGATCAACTTCTTTAACTTGCTATTGATGTTTTTATTCTGTACAGAGGGACAATTTGTACAAAATTAATCTAGATATATATAACACTACATGAAACAAGGTAAATCATATATACAATATTAAATGAATCATATAGTACAGGTCACATACAAAAGGACACTTTTAAGTTATCATATTTTGGAAAGTAACATGTTAAAAGATCTGCAAAGATCCCGCAGGAAGAGAACAAGCCACCAAATCAGTTTGAAATTATTTTGTTATTGTGGACGACTTGTTCCAGCACTGAAAAAAAAAAAAAAAAATCTCTATCATCTTTTTGAAAATCCATAAAACATTTTTTCCAGCAAGCAGAACCGGTCATAAACGCAACAACCTCAACAGAAATTTGTCTGGTGAATGGCATTCCTCCAAGGTAAAAAGTACATGTTTAACATGATAGTTTTTTTTTTTTTTAATTTACATTTTTTTTTTTTGCATTCAAGCAAATACAGTATTGATACAGTTAACAAGCCAAGACACAATGTCAGTTTTTTTATTTTCAACGTCTGGCATTTCTGTGGCCATTTCTTATCCGGATGTTTCAATGTTGGGTGTTTTGAATGGACAAAAAAAAAAAAAAAAAAATCAAATCAATTCCAAATCTGGACATTCACACCACAAACCTCGAAAAACAAGACGAAGAAACACAAGACGTTAGACATGAAGAAATCAAGAAGACCTCAGTTTAAACAATGGTACTGACTGGAAGATACCATCCAACGCTATACACCCCCCGTATCTAAAATGCGTAATCAACGCAGCAGACAACGGAACACGGGAGTGGCAGCAACATAAACATGCAATACCTTTAAACTAGCTTGTTATTTTTGGTCAATCTTATAAAGAGCTGTATTTATTCTTTGATGTCAGTAAAGCTACTGAGGTCATCAATGCTACACAGCCCTGAAATCCTCAAAGTGTTATTTTTTAGTTGTTAACTTTTGTGCACCCAAGGGTCTAATTTTGATTGTTGAGTGAAACTGTCTGTATTAAAAAGATAACCTGTAGGACTAGCTTCCCAAAGTGTGGGGAGGGACATGTCCTTCAGGGGGTGTGCAGTTGTTATAATGAAGACGCAGCAAAGCATACGGTTTTAAATAATAATAATAATAATATTCTCGGAGCAGTGGGGGAAATTATACTGCTTTGTAATTTTTTTTGTTAAAAGAGAAGTTGCGTAGGAATTGCAGTTTTAAACTGACGTGTAGGTGTCAACGCGGGAACCACCTTGACAGGGAATGTTTCAGCTAACCAAAGTCTGCTTCCTTGCTTCTGAAAGTAATTTCTCTGGACTGTAAAAGTCTAAATAAGACTAGAGAGTTCCTATGTAGATCAGTGTGTATGAAGTCCACGCCACCAGGTGTTCCAAATCCACCTAAACCCTGAATAAGATATGGGATGCTCTGGTGAACCTCGGAAATGAAGGTGGGAAAAGTAACAGTTAGCATTGTAGAATTTCTGACTTCTGCAACTAGCTTTTTTTAATGCATGCTGCTCAGAAATTTGTGAAAAACTCTTTCCTCTGGATGTAAACAACATTGACTAACTTAGAATTATAAAACAAAAAAGAAATTCAATTCCTGTGAGTCTGTTTTCCCACAGACCCACTGTTAATGATTTTTTTTACGATTATTGAATAATGCAATAACCCAACGCCCCTAAAAACCAAAATCTTTATATTGTAACAAAACTTTTACAACAACAATCCTATTTACAACGACTCCAAGGCCTTTGAGGTTGAAGCCAAACACTTGCTGAACAAATTTTGTCATTACGGCTAAAAAAAATAGAAAAAAAAAAACTCCAGCATTTTCCCACCTTATACATTTTAAGACTATGATTGTTGCTTGTAATTTGTAAAGGTAACATATGTATTTGTGCTGCTAGTGTATAGCATTCAAAATTCAAGAGGTAGGTGCAAGTGCATGTGTGCGTACTTTGCTTAATGTTTACAGTTGAACGACTATCGTTAGTTAGCTCGGTCAACCTACAGCTGAGGAAAATGTGCGATTTCTGCAATCCTAGTGCACAGAAAAAAACAAACGTAATAGTTACCGTAGCTAAGCTGAGGACTTCCCCACAGAGAAGACAACAAAAACTGCTACAAGAAGAAGAAGGAAATCACTAAAATGTCATTTCAGAACGAGAACATTATTCATTTCTATGGACAGTTGGGTGAATTTTGCAGCTTGCCCCTGTTGGCCAACAGTGGTACTGAAAAAACTAACACCTCCCAAGTCAGGATTCTGACCATATTTTTCTGTATTTTTTTTTTTTCTTGTTTGATAAAAAAAAGACATTGCCATATTACGCAATGATTTTACTGAAATAATTGTTTAGTTGCGTCATGAAATAGATCATACATCATGACCTGTGTGTGCATGGATCCTTGTGTCATGGGCACAAAAGAGGAAAAAATAACACTTTCCTGGACGTTGGGGACTGAATACTAATATTTTTTTTATAATAAATAAATTTGTTTTTATTATTAAGGAAGTTTTTAAAATTATATTAAAATGCTATTAAAACCCCAAACTCTGAAAACAAAAAAAAAGAGCATAGGTCTTTTTGATAGCAGCAGCTACGAACCAGTGAATAAACAGTACACATATACATAAATCACCCAGTATATTGCTAATGCAACCTAAAAAAATAAAAAATGAAAAACAAAAAGGATTAACCACAATATTAAAATCAGATTTCACTCAGGAATACCCTCGCCTGTGAAGCCCAAACACAGTGAGTACCATTGTTTGAACCATCTAGGAATCACTATGGCCTGGTTTTTCAAACGTCAAACAAAAAGAGAAAAGAGCGGCGTATGGCACATAACAATAAACAAAAATGGAAAGTGTCAGATGTCCACAGGACAACTTCCTCTTTCATCACCATCTTTCCTGGACATCGCAAGGCTAAGGACAGGCCTCAGTTTGGTCTCAAGTAAGCTTAACCTAAGGGCGGGAAAATAGCTTATAAACTCTCCATGACTACAAACAAAGGCTTGTGTCCCTGTTATGGTCACAGCTACAGACATGAAACAAAACTAAGAACACAGCGGTCTTGGCACTGATAAAATGTCTGTTTGATCAAGGAAAAAAAAAGAGAAAGAACGCGAGAGGAAAACCTCAAATTACTTTCAACCAATCTTTGTTTGTTCCCTTTGACGTAAAAACCCAGGCAGAGACCGTGAGACATTCCTTAGACAGCGAGTCAGTTATGTAACCATGTCAAATCCTTTGTGAACACAACGTTGTGACAAGGACTGACCAGATCCAGATGAAAAGAAAACCATAGAGACACAACTGGATGAAGCTAAATGACACACAAACACAGCACAACTGCTCCTCTCCTGAAGGACAAAAAAAAAAAAAAACAACAAAAAAACAAAACCTGAGAAAGCAGAAATCTGAGGGAGATGAATCCAAAACTTTTTGCACAGAACGCCTGCACTCTCTGGATTCTTAATCTAGGAATGAATTAGAACTCAGGATTCTGGGTAAACTGGTGATGGAGAAAGGAATGAAAGCCCAGCAAGGGTGACCAGGTTAAATTCTGGCAACCAGGGCCAAAAGAATGTCCATGGCTGTCCAGGGGTCGGCACAGCCAGCAGGTTGTCAGGACCTAGAGTCCGTCGTGGGCGGTCAACATGTCTTCAGCTCTGCGGTGGGACTCCAAGGCTTTTGTGGTGTAGATATCCTGAGGCAACTCAGATTTGCGTCGCACCATGGGTCGCTCTTTCCGCTGTTCATGCTGCAACTGTCAACGGAGAAGGAAATGCACCTTTTTTTTAAAAAAATGACGGATCACCTCAAAAACACTTGACATGGTCCACTTTCCAAGTTCTAAACCAGTGATTCCCACCCAAGGTGGCACCGCACATTAGACCGCCTATTTCTATTATGGAAAATGCTACAATTTCACCTAGTCGGTCTGAAAACTATGAAAAATGTAGACAGTAAGACATCAGTAAGTAAAGCAATTATAAACTCTTCCACTAGGTGGCTAGAGCTTGCTATAAATACTTTAACAGCTTGCTGTCAAAATTCTGTCTCTCTTCAATTCCTGCGAGTACATCAGTATTGTATTCAACTAAACAGACCCAGGTTGAAATATTTTTTCTATGTATAATATTCGTGTTGGCTCAAAAAAGACTAGTAAATTGTTCTAAACACAACTCTGACTAATTCTGATCTCTAAACAATTCAGTGACAAAAACAATCTAAAACTCCAGGTGCCAGAAAAGTTCATACTCTTCCTAAAGTACAACAATAACAAGAATGATAGATTATGTAGTTCAGTTCCACAATCATGCAACAAACAAATGGAATGGAAACAAAAAAAAATAGAAGTTAAAGCTCTTGATTCCAGTGTCCTGGTTTATTTTTACAGCCATGTATGAATGTGTAGAGTGACTGTCAAAGTGTCAGGTGTTACCTGAGTTGCGCCCTCCTCAACTGTCTTTTTTAACATCTGAACATCTTCTATCAAAGGGACATCCGTCTCCATTGCTACAGGACTATTGAGGTCAGAGGAATCAACACACATAGAGAACTATGGTGAAAAAGAAACAGAAAACAAACAAAAAAAAAAGAAACACAAAGGGATGGAGAAAAGACTTTCAGTTGCATGCAAAGGAGAATGAACCCAGAATGAACTCTGAAGGGACTAAAATGAACCACTCTGGAGTAACAATGGAAATGACTAAACCAGTCACTTTACTGGTTCAGATAGTCACACACTTTGGATTAAATGAGATTATGAAATTGTTATTTACTACATGATGCCAATGAATCAACAGTACATTAGTGTAGGTTTGTGTTTTAATGTACGGTGTACTGGGAAAATATAGACACCTGTCAACTTTGTAATTTTTAGCCTTTCCAACTTTGTCTAATTGTTAGAAGAAATATTTCATTTGAGACGTTGAAGAACGTTCTTGCTAAGAGAACTTAGACCTTGGCTGCTCTATATTAGGCAATCCCCTATTTCTCAAGAAATAAATACAGTCAGAATACCAACCTTCTGACGATTCTTATACCTTTCTACCTAAATTTGCATTGCAGTCACAGTGAAGGATTTTTAAAGTAAAGTAGTATATCTTATCTATTCATCCCTAGCTGTTGGCCATTTTTAATCCTAATTCATCTTGAAAACCACTTATTCTATTTCCACTCTGTCATCTCCAGTTCAGCTTCCTGTCTTTTAGACTGTGTCAGTCTCTCCTAATCATGCATCATAGCAGGTCTCACTTCTACACCTGCCTCATAACTCTCTTGCTTTTCCTCCATTTTGACAGGTCTCATTTAAACAGCTGTCCACTCACCACAGATTACTAATGTGAACAGTGGGCTCCATGGAGATAATCTATTCTTTTTTTAAAATAGTTATAGGATTGCCTCCCCAGTAGATGGCACCAAATCTGGCTGCTCAGGTACCATTTATACCCCAAGTGTTACAAAGGCACATTTACTTTTGACTTATAGTTCAGTTACCACAGTCTCTAAAGTGCTATGACAATAATAACAATCCACCTGGGTTCCCATTGTTCCAACCACTGTGTTCAGACTTAGTTCTCACTACTACAGCCTCTACTCTATGTAGAAACAACCAATAAAAATGACGAGGGGTGTGGGGTAGTTTTTCAATGTTCAAATAATAATCAATCTGATTTAAGGAAATAATAAAAACAATCTACATTTTTCATCTAATTGTTTCAATATCAATTATAAACTATTTTACAATAATACTCTCACTAGTGTGTGAAATTTCACAGGCATAGCAATAAAATCGAGCACCAATTTTGGTAGATATGCTACATATTCCTACGTAGCAACACACGAGGAAAAATAAGATGTGTTTTAGGGGCTGTACGTGCAGCTCACCTGAGGGTTCGACTTGGCAAGGTTCTCAATCTTAATCCAAGCCTCTTCACGTTCTTTCAACTTGGCCTTCTCTCTGTTGAACAAGACAGCAAACATCCTGTCAGTAATCCCTTCCATTTCAGCAGCTCAGACACAGGACTGACACTTTATTTACGTCGTGTCCCCGACTACACATTATATAAGAAACAAACAATGAAGATGTGGCATACTTGTTTTTCTCAGCCCTGAACTGCTGTGTGCAATCATCGAAGAGCTTCTGATTCATCTCCATGAAAAGCTTCAGAGCGTTGTAGATGAGACCGTGGATGGTCCTGTGGAGCAGAGACACGGTGGTCAATTATTTAAAATGTACACGCTCAAAAATAAAAACACAATAGTTCTTATACGTAAAGCTGGAATGACTTAAGGAGAAGGTATTTTGTATTATATTAAGTATTTGAAGGAACTTTAGACTTAAGAATGGCCACAAGAGGGAGTCCGTTAATCCAAGACTTAAAAAAAAGAAATCATTACAAAGAGACACTCTGTTGAGGCAGTCAACGTTTTAACTTAAATCAGTCATGATGGTTCAATACATTTACAAATTAAATAATAAGCAACCATTGTACATCATGAGTAGTTCAAACAGAGCATGAGTTTTGAATTGGCCCAGGGAAATTACAGAAAGGCCCAGTAATGAAATTAGAGTAGAGAGTACAAGCAGTAGAATTAATGACAATAATAATTGATCTCAAACTCAACACTCACTTGTTCCAGTGGGTCTTTGAGTTGCGGTAAAGAGCTGGGAACATGATGGGCAGAATCTTGGCTGCGTTATCACTGATCAGACTCATGATGTACTCGTTGTTCCAGTAGTACAGAGCCCTCTCTGCCACCTGTAGGTGAATGAGGAAACAACAGTGAATAATCGCCCTCAAAGCTCCAGATGCTTTTTGCTCTGAATATGCCTCAGTTACCTGGAAGTGTGGGCTGGACACACACTTGGCCAGCTGTCTAAACAGAGGCTCCTGCACTTTAACAAACTCTGAGGGCTCGATGACATCCAGGATCTCCTCCAGCTCGTTCAAGAACATCACCTCCTTAGGACTGTGAGTCTTTGGCCAGTACTTCAGTAGAGCCATTACCACCTGTGAGAACAGTCAAAAGAGTGGAAGTTAAAAACAAAAAAACATTTTGGAATCTAGATAAAAGTTAATCAATCATGAGATTTGTATCCAGCACATACCGGCTCTGTTAGAGTGCTGTCCTTTTCCAAAAACTGCACCACACAGTAGGCCAGCTGTACAACAACAAGTACAAGTGTTTAGTGTGTGCACGTGCAGAGTCAAACATACAAAGGGAGACTGCAGTGCCTCAGGGGAACAACCATCTAAAGTGTGCAGCACCAGTTCTATTGTAAACGTGACCTGAAGAATGACCTTTGGGTTCTTAACACACAGCTCCCGGGTCGACTCACCTGTGGATGGTAGACACTGAGTGATTTGACTTTGTGCAGAGGCAATAGAACCTTCAAGAGGAAAATTTTGTGCTCTTCTTTCAGTGGTAAGGCAAATCCATTGATTATGCTGCAAAACACATAAAGCACATGTTAACAAAACATTAGATGTGAAGTTAGCATTAGCAAGTATGTTTGCAGTGTAGGAGCCAAAATGTGTTTTTGCTGTTGTCATATTTATGGGCTCCTCTTAGAAAGGCTGAGGTTAGAGAGAATTACTGACCATCATTATGATCATTTTCTTAACCATTATTGAGTCATTCAATACTTGATATCACCATTCATAACTGAGACTTGTTGATTTTTTTTGTGACAATAAACCTCCTCACAACACTTATTGACTTCAGTACAAACTTGTTAACCTAATCTGAGGTTTTGTCTATGCAAAGCAGCCACTATAGTGAGCAGCCGTCACCAATGGTCTTCTACGTAAAGTAAACTTGAAAACAAACCACATAGAAGTAGAGTGTAAGTACTGAGTGTGTGCTGAAAAGGTTCAACAGTACTAGGCTGTGTCATTCTACAACTGTATGTCATCTGTAAACACTTCTAAATACAATAACAGTAATAATAATAAATTAGGAAGTATTTATTATAATATACACCATGGATGCTGTAAAAGTGGACAGTAAAAATCACAGAGTGATGAAGTGCTAACTGTCAACAAACCTTCCAAGTATTTCCAGTAGTTCAGCTATACCATTGTGATGCTCCGTCTCGTAAATAAACCTGTAAAAGACCAGAGTTCAGGGTTGGAGCAGATTCATTTTTTCCCTAATAAAACAAACGAGTCTGTGTCGACCATTTATCAAGTACAGCGGCGGGGGAACTCCACTGACCTATAGAAAATGTTATTGATCTGTTTCCTGATGTAAGCTCTCAGCCCCAGGAACTTTCCATAGATCCTGTGGAGAGTCGTTTTGAGGAAGTCTCTCTCCCTGGGGTCCTCACTGTCGAATAGTTCTAGGAGCTGCAGAGGAAGGGAATTAAACACAGCATCAGAGAGAAGCCACCTTAGGACACGTCATTATTACCCTGCTCTAATGAATAGATTTCATCTCTTACCTGCATAACAAACTTCTGGTCGATGTATTTCTTTGCTATGTTCGGCTGAAAGTCAGGCGATTCTAAAAACCTAAGGAAAAATTCATAGACAAGCTGCAACAGAAACAAACAAGAGGAAAACAAATGAGTCACAGTGGGCAGCAGATTCCTGCAAAATTGAGTGTCAGTTTTGTACAATAAAGGTGGCGGTTTACACATGATGTATATTTTAGGACAGGGTCTTAGCTGCTAAGCATTTTTTAATGTCAGGTCTTTAAGTTCCCACTGTGAATTTACATGTGCACTCCTGCTGGTTTACCCTTGTTTTATGCATTCAAATAAAGAAGACTTAATATGAATGCCTTCACTTTGTGACAGATGTGTAAAATCACTGCAGCTGTGCTGATGATGAAATCATTAACCTGAAGATGTGGCCACGCTGCTTCAAGTGTGGGCTCGTCTTCCTCTGGATCAAACTCTGCTCCAGTGGGGTTTGACGACGGGGGCAACGTTCTGAACATGTTCACCGCAAACTGGAAGAAAAGGACAAAAGAAAACGACAATGTTTAGATTTTTTTTTAAAGGCTGATCCTATTTCAATTTCCTTTTGTTTTAATAACCCCAAATCATAAATCACACTCTATCAAAACATTGTGTCTGTGTAAGTACGAGGGGGAAAAGCACACCGTGGTTAGAACAGGATACATCTAGAGGATAGACTCAAACTTCCTGTGAGAAGTTTCCCCTAACAGTGAACAAACGTGAAATGTCATGACAGAAACAAACCAACCCTTAAACCACATCAAAAAAATTGTTTTCAGTATTTTCAGAAACTGTGGGTTTCCTTCTGCTCTACTTAACATGGTGAAAGTGAGAGCAAAAAGACAAGTGTGCACATATGCTGAAGCACTCAGAGTTAAATTAAAGTAGATTTAACCTGAAGGTGGATTAAATAAAAATAGTGGCATCGTATGAGCTCCAACAGTGAGTACAGGTTGTTCAGCTCCTGGGTCTGGTCTTAAATAATAAAACACTCGTTCACACACAACAAAATGTCAGCAATCAATAGGAATCATGGCTCTCTTTAAAACAAAACAAAACAAAAAAACAAACATACTTGGCTCTAAAACATTCAGCCATTTTTTTAGGAAATTACTTAAGAATTATGATGCTTGTCAGTATAAACTTTGCATGTGGTCTCCAGTGTTTTCACCCACAGCAACATAGTGTGTTGATGGTTCAGAACAATGTCAACTGATTCCCCTGAGGGCTGTGGTTCTCTGCCGGAACGATCATGTGACACAGCAGGTTGGTCTGTAAAAACAGCAGGATCCTTGTTCCATAAGAGGAGACAGAAGGCAGAAAAAGAACCGTCCTGGTCTTTGCAATATATCAATGTGCTATTCTGTACTTCATCTCCCAGGACATGACTGTGAAGAATAGGAAAAGTACAGTGTCCTCCAACAGTCTAGAATCTTGTAGGATTAGCTTAACTGGACACAGTATATTGACTCTCAGCTGGTCAACTGTCCTGGTTGTCTGATAGTATTTTCCAAACACATAAATGTCCTACCACACAAACTTCTGTATCATTTAGACCAAGCAAAAAAATGACCTCAACACTCATTTCCACAAAAAGACTTCAGTTCATTGTCAACACACTCACAGTATTTAACACCTTCAACAATATTAGCTTTTTTATGCGTACCCACATTTAATAATCATTAGATTCTATAAAATACTCAACTTGCAGTACAACTTAAGACCAAAGTAGAGAAAAAAATGCAAACTGACCAACTGTCTTCATCAGTTGCACCAGAAAGACATTTCAGAAGCAGAGGTGTAAGATTCAGGATGGTAACGTGAATCTTTACACAATGCAAAGCACAAATTTAGCATGTTGGTTACACCAGCGATAAGAACGGCACTGAACAACAGATGTAGACATATGAATTCAAACAATGAAACACATTTTGCAGATTACAATTAAAAATAAAAAGTCTGCATAACAAATTTTTATCAGCAGCAATTCTACTTTAATTTTACCAGAAAAAAAAACAAACATTTACTTTAATATGGCCGACAATTACACTGGTCAAAACGGCTGCATAATGAGAAAAGATTTAGTAATTATTTTCCAGCAATTTCAGATCTGCAGCTAAAACAAAATTACACTGTCAACTTCAGTTTTAATCACTTAAGATGAACAACTCGTTCCCCCCAGTAGCTCCACTCACCATGTGCACCACCTCTGGGTAGATGGGCTCTGTGATGACATTCCTGTTGTGGGTGATGTACTCCACCATCTCGCTCAGCGCCGCCCGCTTCACCTCCTTCCATTTTAGGTCGCTCAGTGGGTCGGAGAGGAAGTCAAAAAGAACGCAGCACTGCCGTAGCTTTTGGATGAACAGCTTTTCCTGCTCAGCCGGGGCCACATCTACACAAACGGAGAACAAAAGAAAAAAAAAAGAGCTGAATGAGCTTGAAAGTGCCAACTGTGTAACATGTGAGAGCGGTGCTTATTCATTAATGCAGTCGACTTCAAAGAGTAAGGGCCGCATGGAAAGAAAGGGCAGCTCTGCTGTCACTGGTAGAATTATGAAAGTATGTCAGAGCTTTAGAGATGACCAATGATAAAAGAACCAAATGGAAGACTGGAGTAATACACTATCCAGGCAAGACGATTTGTTGATGTAGGATGTTGTGGGAATGGGATCAACTTTTTAGGGGTAAAGGTCAAAGATTAGTTCTTTTGTATACTGTCGTGATATATAGATTTCCTAATCTGAATATCTTCACATCTGTGATCTAATAAACCTCATGTGCACTGGTCAAAAATTACAAATATTATAAAACTAGACCTGCCAGGAGGTACAATGGAGGCCCGAGCCCCCATTGTGATTTGCGGCCCATCGAGATCATGCACCGCAGACCTTGATGACCACCGCAGGAGCACGTTTGTGTGTGTTTTCTCAAAGTTTTTTAAACATTTCTCAACAGGGACTGGGATCCATGCTTCATTTTGTACGCATTTTAGGCCTGGAGCCACTTTGATATTGATGCTGCTTTCTATCAAACTGATCACCAATACATTTGACTTTGATTTCCTAAAATGACATCATCCTTTTATCCAATCCTTTTTTTGACTTTGAATATATCATTATTTGTCTGGCCTAACAATGAGTGCAGGGTTTCACAAAGGGATGGCTCAATCTGATGAGTGGCACAGCTTTTCTTCACACCAATGACCTGTTAAGGTTTCAATCAGGATTTTTCTACACAGAATTTCCAAGCAATTCTTGTTAAAGAAGCTTATTTCTGAACAAATATGAGTCAATTCTTCTATTTTTGCTATCTCTTTATGGTCTTTTATAAGTTAAGGAGCTCTTAAACACCAATGCAATATTAAAATCATAACCAGTTCTTGGTCCACTCTTTCAAGTAACTAATTATATTAAATGACCAAGAACAGCAAGTTTGACAACCATAACGTTGTTACTTTGTAAGAACAAAGCATTTCCCTCAGGGAACTTCAAACATTTAGGTGTGGTGTACAAGCAGTTGTCACAAGTTTTTTTCTGGACCAATAGAGGATAGAAAATAAAATAGTAAGCAGAGAAACTCTTGGAAGTCTAATAATAAGTATACCAAAATCATTATCGTTAGCATAAAAAAGCTAGCGCAAGATCTGAAAAAGTATTCAATCCTCCAGGTTTGAACTGGCCAAGACTGTTGTTGGCCAGTGACCCAATGCAGTGGGAACTTAGGATCTAAAAGATAAATAATTCAGTTGGGCTGATGGTCTTTTATTTTCACAGCACCAATCTGTCATTACATCATTCATTGGCCCCCAAAGAAATATCCGCCAGTAAATGAAATATTAATCATCCAGTCATAGCTTTGTTTGAAAGTCACATTTCTAGTACAAGTATGTCACTTTTTAACCATTTAAAAATAGACTTGTTAGAAGGGCTCACATTATACAACAATACTGTATTATAATCAGGCAACAGAAAGGGGATTTAAATTATTTGCACATGGTCAAAGTGAGGAAAGCTGTAAAACCCTGCTATATGCAGTTTGGTAGTACAGACATAAGGGGAAAAAGAACATTCTGTATAATGTAAAATATACTTATACTTTAAAAAAAGCTATAATTTGCAATTAGAGTTGTGCAGACGGGAGACAAGGAAATAAAATAGTGTAAGTCATGCACTCATGCCCTAACTCAAGTGACAGAAATAAAGGCCTGACCAAGGTGTGAACACACACAAACACACATACAGGGATGCTTGACATTCTTCAGATGTGACTGATTGTAGGTAAGAAGAGAGATGGCCCATTCAAACATAATAGATACTTGGCAGGGACCCATGTATGCTCGCACACCCGTGAGCACACAACTCTGCAGTGTCAATTTCAAGTCTGCCAATTCATTCTAATGACAGTGAGAGGCGGCGAGTTCTACAGCAGGGAGGCCGAGGGTGTGAGCACTGCCATCAGCAGATATTTCCATTAGAAGTTGAAGGCGAACAGATGTGACAATGTGAGGAAACACTGGGACAGTTGTTCCATTAGCGCGTTTCCCTGAAATTAAGTTTTCGGGACTCTATTTGGGACATTGCCACCTGTTATAACAAGTGTCATATTGTGTTATACACTTTAAAATTAGGATACTAATCCTCTGTGCAGAGTGTTGAACCATATGAAACCAATATTGACCCTTTATATTCTCTGCAAAGGGAAATAAATATTAACACAGGGCCATGTCAAGCATGTCACTCCATTACATAATAATGGTCTGCCTGCCTGTGTCATATAATTTCTGTACCATCCTAAAATATCCAGCAGGTTGTTTTGTAACAGTGTGGGTCGATGTTGTTATTCCTAAACTCGGGTAAAACACATTGTCACATCTTAGGGTTTAGTAACAGATTCCTTATGAGGTCAAACAAACATGAAATTAAGCTAAAAAGATAATTCTACAGAACTCGAGTCAAAACAGGTGTGTCGTAGCAGGGGTCAGAGGAACTGGTTTGGAATCTGTTTTATCAACAGCCTGTTACACACTATATACAAATAGATAGCTATGCAGGTTTGGCAACAGGTAGAGTCATTCATTTATTTTTTCAAATGCTTCTGGCTGCAAAGTAATCAGTGTAAATGACTTAATTATTTTGAGTCAGAATCCAACTATGACTCACTTTATGTTGATTAGGTTGATTAAACATAAAACCATTGAAACTTGATGTTTTTACATGGCAAATATTGAAAAGACTGATGAACATGTTGCGAATACAAAAGTCTGATTGATGTCGGACCATGTGACTTGGTCAAGGGAATGCAAAATTAGTCAGCAAACCAATGACTTGTGGACTAATATATTAATGAAATTCTACTCAGATTAGTGGTTCCTGAAGTTTCTGCTGCTCCCCTCCATCACCCATTACCACCACCTATGGCCCGCTATCCACATTTTGTGCCCCCATGCAGCAGCCCGCTGGTGCATTTGTGCAGCAGCCATCCAACAAGTACCAAAGATAGACAGAAGCACGACTAGATGGGAGATACCCATAATGAGAAGGAGAGGGCAGACAAATGTCCGGTTTGTTCCATCAAATGTCGGCCTGGGGACCACTTGGGTTCCCTGGGGGTATTTTTGAAGTTGAATAAAACACATTAAAAAGATTAGTAAATAAATAAGCTATGTACTTTTATCTTCTAAAGTATTTAGCTAGTTAGACTTTTGTTTGAGCCAGTTAAAGACAGTATTGGGCTCAAAAGTGTATGTTTGAAGCCCACAGTCAGATACCGTCAACATCTTTTTAGAACCAGGAAAGGCCCTGATGTCATAGGCCTGGAAGTACTTGGCAGTAAGGTAGGAAAGCTGTTTAAGCCCACCATTTGTAATATACAGAGCGGAGGGTTGGACATATTGTAGATGAGAAGACACATCGCCTGTCAGATGACACAGCAGAGATGTAATGTTTCTCAAAAAATGTTGTTCATGTTCGAGAAATAGCACTTTGCCCTGTATGTGTTAAAAGACGTTTTTGTTATCTCTTATTACCCACTGAACTTAGAACTTAAAAAGTTTACACTTGGACTTTTATTTTGCAATTGCTGCAATTTTATTTCAAGAAATTGGGAATAAGAGGTCATAGGCAGGCATATAAAAATGCACGACCTATATCTTAAAGTCATTGCAAAATATAACCTGGAGTTATTTTTGTTTTGTTATGTGGAACTACTGCACAAGCTTTTATTCGTATGAGAGTTGGGCGCACAGAAACCCATTTTCCTTTACCTTCTTGCAGCCTCTAAGCAATTTATTTTATGAGTTGTTAAACTGAAGAGAGGTCCTGTGACTACGTGCAATTTGTTAGAAATTATTAATAATTTCTTATGAGAACACATTACTTGTATGCTGTGAATTAAATTGGTATCTGTAAAAACAGCTTGATGAAAGAAATCCTGTACAAGTTCTTGTGTGAATGTAATTTTTCTATTTGGCCACAGATTCAATAAATTAAACATTACATTTTGTGAGAATTGTATCAACTGATACTTGTCTCAACAGACACCGTAGGTCAATTTGGACACATCCAAATGTGGAATATTCGCTCTGAATACTGTGTCAATAATAGGGCAGACAGAGAAGGAAAGGAAACAAAGATGGTGAAAGAGAGCCGACTGTTACACCAACACTGAGATGCCATTCAGCCACTGGCTTCTGTAGTTTAACAGAGTATAATCAATAATTGCCCTAGGCTTCATATAATGCGGGGCAGCAGCCGAGCACAGTGGTAACAGGGTCGGAGAAGTGCCTAACTGCCATCACTGGCAGAGCTCACAGTCACACTCGTGTTTCATTTTGTATTGCTTGCAACGAGAGGAATATATCCACAGTGCCACAGTGTCCAAATTACTTTACTATTCACAAAGTCAAGGTGAATTTGAAGGAGAACCCACAAGGGCCCATAAGAACTAACACTGCTTTGCAAGTATAAGAGGGAGGTAAAGATGTAGGTCAGATTCGATGGAACTAGAGTGTTCTAAATGTACTACAATAAGAAAATCATAGACACTTCACAGAATGTAGGTTACATACACATGGACAAAATCAGACAGATTATGGATGACTAATCATTAGGCAACTGGGACACAAATTATATACACATTTTAGTGATTTCTTTCTGCCGTTTGTCTATGCCAAATAAGTGTTTACAGTTTCATCTCTTTTCATGTCTAAGCACTTTGTGACCTCTAGTCTCCCCTTACTCTGTATTCAGGGTTGAAATATTCATTATGATCAACTGTGGCCATGGCATTATCAATAAATATCTAGGTAGTAATGTGGCATGTAATTAAATGAATGACCACGGGAGTATACAGTTCTGTTGTTGACAACATAGCACTGACTCAGATGTTAAGTAGCCTGCATAGATGATTTGAAAAAATAAATGCTTTAGTTTTACATGAACAGTGAGAAGAAATAAACACCGGAGCAACATTTTTTTTTTACCAAACTAAAACATTTGTTTCGAGAAATGGTGTGAGGCTGCTGTATCAAGGTGGATTTTTTTTCAAATATGCTAGGCTACCAAGTAAAAAATAAATTCTTTGGGGGTTTCTACACTAGATCATTCTGTGCCTCCATCACTCAATACTCTTTTTCAACTGATGCACCAACCTTTTTACTGAATTCTTCAATACCCCAATGGATCCAATTCTTGCTTATCGTCCTGTGTTTCCCATATCTGGCAGCTCAATCTTCAATACATACATATAACATGTCTCTGCTCTGTACATGTTCAGTTATCTCACATTCCCCCTTCACCTTTATCTTCAAATTGTTCAACCTCAGCTACCTCAGAAAACGTGCACAGTGGTGCCTATTCTGGTCACCTCTAGAAAAAATCTCAGCATCTTGGACCCTGAAATATCCAGCTCGAACTTCCTTTTTAAGTCTTTATAGAAAACACTTTAAGATCAATTAGGAAATTTGCTCTACCATACAATTCTGTGAGACGTGCTGACCAGGTAATGTGTGTGTTATCCAGTAGCTCAGAATTTTTAACTGAGCTGATTGTGCAAGGCTAGCAGAAGTACATTACTTCATTGTTGTTGTCTCTTCTTACAATAGGCTGCAGGTTGATATACTGTATCAACTCCACTCACTTTTACTTTGCTCCTGGCCTTTACTGTACATCTGTTCAACTGCACTATTCTCAACTTGGCAAACAAACTATTCTGCTTCTAATGGCACACAATGCTATCGCAAATCAGCACAAAATGTTGTGCAAAGTCTTTCAATTGTACACATTTTGTAACCACAGGAGAAGAGTGTGTCTAAAGGAAGAGTAGATAAAAATTAATAGGAGCAATGTTTTATGCTGTCAAATTCAGATTTCCTACCATTCAAAAACATTAGCTTTTGCAGTAAATGTACGTTGACACTGTTGCTTTCTGTGGTACAGCAGGTTTTCTAGTAGCACTGGAGTTGCGTAGATTAAAAAAAGTAAACCTGTCGGCAGAGGTCAACTGAATAGTTTAACAATACAGACCACTGTTGATGATATATACACACGAGTTGGAAACAGGGTCACTATTTACATACAACATTATATTCTCAGATGTATAGAAATGTCACTAACACAGAGACACAGCACAACACCACAGCGGTTTAATCCAGTCTCTGGTTCTTATTCATATAAAGGCCAAGGAACAAAAGACACGCCTTTATTTATTTATTTTTATTTATAATTTTTTGCATTATAACCGAGACAAACTGAGGACAGGAGCCTTCTCTGGTTTGTGACCTCACTTCCTTTGACATCACTGGCTCCGTGGGGGATGGGCAGAGAGCAACTAGCTAGTAAAACCAGATTTTTTTTAAAAAAATGTGGCTTCCGCGTCTTCAAAACACCCATTCTCCTGCTACGTATACAATACAATACAAAGGCTCAGCGAGACAAAATTACGATATTACTGCTAACATTCATTAACCAAGCAGTTACCAATGAAGGCGAACATTAGCACAGCAACACAGAGCCCTCTCTTCAAATCCCCAGGACAATGCAGGAAGAATAATTTGTCCCTTACGTACCTCTGAAGTGCATAAGAGCCAGCGGCTGAAAAGGGCCGTTGGAGTTCGGCGCATCTACAACCATCCTGTCTCCGGATTTATTGCATGTCAACATCTAAACCTCGACCAGGAAGGCGCTCCACTCAGGGCGAGAGGCCAGCCTCCATTTTAGCACAAAAGCAGATCAGAAAATGAAGCTCCTGCCGCTGGAGGGAACTGGGCTACTTAGTGACGTAAGCGGTGGAATCGCTCGCTCGTTGGCTGAGCTCAGACCGCTCTGGAGGGGCGCCGCTTCAGACAGCCAAACGTGATTGGTACACAGGGCGCAGGCGGGGCGGGGCGTAGATTGGAATTTTGGGGTCTGGCTCCTCCTACTCATCTATGAACTGCAAGGCAGAGCCTGCCACAGATCTCAGATCAGATCAACTTCAGCCTTTCTCACACTTTAACCATAAGCAGGCGTTTCGGAGTAATCTGATTTAGGATAAGCATTTGGAAAAACGGCACAATCGACAATGTGTGTGTGTGTGTGAGCGAGGCAGAGAAGCCCTGGCCGAATCTTCAAAGCCTTTGGTTGCTTCCTCCTGTCATCTCTGCTTGGCTCTTCATCAAAAGGAGGTGGGAGAGAAGGTCAAATGGGGCCTCAAATCTCTGGCTTCAATGAAGAAGGAGATGAGAAGAAACCACATAAGGGAACAAAAACAAGAAGACGACTGGGGAATTGAGGTTGTCCAGCAGGAAAAGCCCAAGAATCTCAGTAAATATGTGGTGTTATTTACTACACCACATTAAAACGTCATGTTAGTCTGAATCAGGGGGAAACGACAGGTCACAGGAGGCTGGCTTCAGTGGAAATGGTTTTCTAATGTCCTGTTAATAAGTGTTGAACATGCAAACACTTACTGCGGCTTAAACACGATTTGTGAGTTAAACTACAACTCATGATCAATTTGAACACTTTAATGGATTAAAAACGCTGGTTAAGTACACAAATTAGAGTTTCTAATAAATGTATCTCCACCTACGAGCTGAGCCTGCTGCGTCAAATGCACCTGCCTCTTGTTCTTTGAGTTTTATCACCAGATGGCATCCTTTGACCTGCAGGACTATATTTTGTGGTCTTTTACCAATAGTTGCAACACAGAAACATCAGACACCAGAAACGTTTTTATTGCCAGGTAGGGTTTCACCTACAAGGAATTCGTTTTGACATTCGGCTTTTATAGTTGAATAATAAAAGAGTGCAGTAGTCCAGTAAGGACTGGTAACTCCCGTACACATTAACATATGGCTCTGTGTTGTACAGTAGAGTCATGATCATGTGTACTGTGTGTATACACGTTTACTGTCTGAAAACCTGATTATTTTAAAAGGAGAATTGTGTTTGAAATGACTATTTGTACTGTTTTTGTCTTTTCTGGAGTTTTTTTCTCTGATAATGTGCCTGTTTCGAAATTAACCACGTCAACTAAATTAAACCTGAAATTAAGGTCAAACGTGAGGAAATTCAAGGTGTGAGTCTTTGCAACCCACACAGCCTGACACAGGAGGCGCCATTGAGTGTGCGATTCCTCTGGGGATCAAACCAAGGACCTTCTGTGTGTAAGGCAGACATGATAACAGCTTCACTATGGAACTGAAGATAAGTTTTGAGTGGCCGGGAATAGAACCCAGGTCAACTGCTCAGATGGCAGCTATGCTAACCACTACACCACCAACCCTTCCCTTTTAACTTTATTATGTCTAGAACATTGCCAATTAATTGGCAATGTTCTAGACGTAATAAACTAATAGATCATTCATGGTGCTCACATGGACTAACAACAATGTATAGGTAACGTCATGAATTTGATTAATCGCAATTATAATATATCATGATTAATTGTAACTTATCTTTCATTAATAAAACAGACACCTTTTTTCTGCTATACTGTCACTGCTGGAACAGAAGGATGATGGAATTACAAGATTAATATGGAAAAATAACATTATAACCTTCAACATGAAGTGCCTGCAACAGGTCTATCACACAGTCTGTCACTAAGTAGTAGACTGTGTTATCCCTGCAGTGATGACGTAAATGCACTGAGCAGAATTAGCTGCAAACAGGAAATGAAAGTGACAATAGATTATAAAGACACAGAGTGGACCGACCACAGACTGTATCTGACAGGCTGTTTATGCACAGCGTGTCTACACGGTAGCTGTATTTTAAATTTAGCTCAACAGCACCACACATGATGGAGATATAATAATATCATAGCTGCAGGAGAGAGAGACCAGAGAGATGTCTTATGACAAAATGTAAAAATATATCTGTCTGATTGTTACTCTTATTGCCCTCATATGAGGAGGGAGTTTCAGTATATCCAAATTGAAGATTGATGGACTTTATTTAGTCTCTCTAAGATGACTTATATCATCGTGGGGGGGTGGGGGGGATCATTATTATTAATAGATTTTTAATTCAGCTAATTTAAAGTCTGACTCTCTATAAAGCAGAGGAAACGTCACCACGTCACCTCAACCAGCAGAGGGCACCAAAGGCAGTGAAGTAATAAAGTAAAGAAACACGTGCAGCAGCAAGTACAGTACTGTATATTCTTACCAACTACAACCTTGATTATCATACACGTTACATTAAGCAGTGATTATGTCTTGTGGCCTTATATACGCTGAACATGAAGTGAGTTTCCTTCGTCTATGTTTCAGCTGTACACCTCCACTGTATCAAATATGATCAACTACGTGCAGCTATAACGCAGACTAGCAATTTATTTACTTGTGTAAATATGGAAAGTACATTTATCTAAAAATGTTTGTATTTTGATATATATATATATGTATATTTAATTTTTTTCTCTTTTATTAGTCTCTTACATTTAAAAGCAGTCCTTTGTTGTTGCAACATGACAATTTGGCCAGTGTGGCATTATTAAAGCCTAGTCTAATCTAATATATGTATATATATATATTTAAATTTTTATTTACATTGTTCCAGTCCTTTCTTGTATTTAAAAGTTTAATGACACTGTTTTTTTTTAAGTTTATCTGCCTTTCTTAGTGTTTAAAACCAAACTCAAGAAGTTTGGTGTGAGTGCAGAGAAAAGTGTTCAATTTGTATTAAATCGTAGGAATTTAGCGACCGTGCTGCGATGTGACAGACAGCTCTTTATTCCGTTATTATTTAGAGAAGGGTGTTTTCTATGAGTCACATGGCCGACTCTTAAATTAATTAATTGAATTTTATTCAATTAAAATGATTCTGTGATCACACTGTAATTAAGGCTACGGCGTGTCTTTGCGGGCGTTTGTCCAGGTCACTACGACTGAGTGAAAGGTCACTGAGTTCACAATAAAAAAAAAAGGAAAACAACGCACGAAAACAGACAAAACAAAAGAAAATGAAAACAACATCCACATCAAATGGCCATCAATCTTTCCCATAGACCGTATATAAGACAACTGACTGCTCCTCCCATGACTTAAAGTATTAAGCATTAAAAGCCAAATCAATAAATGAATGTCTACTGGTTGAGCTTAATAGCATTTTCAGGCCACATGATTATCCCAGTAATGGTTACCCACCGCAGTCAATTTAAAAAGAGGGATGTCAGGTGTTTCCCATTCTTCCATGTCCGTCATATAAATCTATTAGCCTTACAGAAGAAAAAATCTAGACTTTAACCTAATGTATAATGCATTCATCTTTATTAGGAAGGTAGCCTCACATGTGCTCCCCCACAAATCAACTGGGTCAAAAATGAGGGCCAAGTCTGCATCAAACATGCAAATCCTCTTAGCTGCGCCGCTCTATTGTTCCTGCGCAGTGTCGCCTGTTCATTCAGGTACGAGAACAAGACACAGCTGGGTGTAGTTTACAGGAAACCACTTAGGCCTGATGCCGTCTGTAACGCTGTGTGTGTGTGTGTGTGTGTGTGTAAACAAAGAAGCCATGAAAGATTCATGTCAACTTCATCTTCACTACTTCGTCTGAGCGTCAACGTCAGCGTGACAAATACATATACAAACGCATGAGTACAAACATACAAACTAGATGCTAATTGGAAAACAAATTCAAACATGCGTCCCTGTCTCGTTTTCATGGACAAATTTCTAGGATGACGTTTTTCCGCGTCAGCACAGACAGAACAATCCACGAGTCGAATCCTGATACAAATTTAAGATTTGGTTTTTCTTTGATTCCGGCTGCTGTTTTAAGTTATTATTGGATGCCCCACTTTCTGTCTTCTGTCTCCTCCTCCTGAGTCAGACTCATTTTACACAAGCAAACCCTCTAAGGTAAATATATATGCATATATATTTTTTCCAGGTTTGACAGGAGATGCAGCTGCTTCCACATTATTTGCATTAATTAAAAGTCTGCTCTGATATAAATGGTGTAGCAAGAAGCAGAAGTTAAAGAGGCGGCTGTGAGGATCCAGCTGGACGATGAATTGTTAATAAGATTCCCTACAGCCATACAGGACACACATGCAAACTTAAACAAAGGTGTGTGTGTGTGTGTGTAGAGCAAGGTACAGGAGGAGATACTTCAACATGTAAGAGGTGCATACCTGCCACTGCAGGCAGTTTCTGTAGCTCTCTGTTAGTACTGAGGGGGAAGGAGGAGGTGCTGAACCTCCTTCTTCACGGCTGAGTTTGACCCCGGCTGCTTCACCCTCATCAGCTGAGTCGAAGGAGGCACCTTTTTATTGGAACTCTGCAGAAACAAGAGTGGCAGAGGAAAGGCTCCTGTTACTGGAGCAGGGCAGGTTAAGGTGGTTCCTGTCCTACAGGAAATGACACGGGATTTGAGCTGCTCAGGTGTCACTGTCAGAAGAGAGGAGGGAGAAGAGGAGATGACAGGTGGAGTTGAGAGGCAAAGAGAGGGGAGCAGCGCAAGGGATGGGGAGCAGAGGAGAAGAGTGGACAGAGGAGAAAAACAGGAGAGAACAGGAGAGGAGAGGAGAGGAGAGGAGAGGAGAGTGTTGCTGTTCAGCATCAAGTTCCTCTCTGAATCAGGTCAGGTGATTCTCAGAGCAGAAACCTGATCACAGCCGTCAGAGTCACTGTACTGTGGCCTGAGTTTGTGACTGACATCAGTGTGGCCAAAATAATGGAGCCAAGAGTCGGTAAAGCCGGCAGTGAGAACAAAAAGGGACGTCCAGCAGTCAGTCCATCAGATCGTATCCACCCTGACAGTTTGACACACTTAGCATGAATAATATATGACAGAAATAACACAGAGGAAATCTACTACAGCGCTACAGTCGGAGTGTTGGATTCAGGGGGATGGTGGAAGGAGATGGGATTGATTCTGAGAGGAGATAAGGTCATGAGATCATGTCATTACATCACATGAGAATCTGTGAGCAGAAAACAAACAGAAAACGAGGCAAACGGAACATGGAAAATATACAGTGTGAGAGTTGTGGACACACTGATGTCCACAGAGATCTCTTTGAATTTCACTTCCTTCTTGAACTAAATTCAATGTGTTTACATGGTTTTTAGTCACTTTTACATTTTCTATTTTGCCCAACGATGTTTTTTGTTGGGTTATAGGTGTTAGTGTAGAGAGTTGGAAATGTAGAAACAACAGCACAAATCAGATAATATTTACTGTAAAAAGACATTTCATGGTGGTGTGACAAATTGTTAGTTAAAAGTTGCTTCAGTGAAAACAAAAGTATTTATTGTTTTCATGAATATAATCGGGTGCTATGGTTTCTACAGTTCCCTAGTATTTCAAACTCTACATTAGTAGATAAATGTCAAGTAAAATTGTTTTAAACATATTTTAATAAAAATATTTCCCTAATATGTGTATATATGTTTATATACGTATATATAACACTTAATTTTCAAGAATCTAAGTCTGATTTGTTAGATCTTGGACAAAGCAGTGATCTGTTCAACTCCCAAAATATTTACTCCAACAAATAATTTTGTACACAAAACAAGTCGATCGTCAAAAAAGTTAAATTGTCCCTTTTCAGTAGATAAAAGGAAAACGCTGAGAGGAAAATTCACATTTTTATATTAAAATACACTGTATAGTGTTGTACATCTACAGCATCAGTAAACTCCGTCAGTACAGGCCCTGAGTTTCTGAGTTAGTTCATCACATCAAGATAAAGAAATTTCAATTGTATTTTTTATATAGTGCAAAACATTGTTAGCATTAAAATCTAAAGGGTAATTGAATAAATCCAAAAAAGAAAGTGCCCAAAAAAACGCAGCACATAAAATGTAACTTTAACATTGTAATATTACTTAAAACTACTTCAACAAAACTTTTTTCCCCTCGTCCTTCAACATTTTATTCTACATCTGTCAGTTAACTTCAGTGTCTGTTAACATCGAGGCCACTTCATCAGCAACCTACAGTCTAATAATCGTTAATAATCGAAATGTTGACAAATGAAAATGAGTTATCAACCAAACGTTAGCGTCCATTAGACATCCATCTTTTGTCCTTCAGCAGCTACTGTACCTTCTTGTCCTTCTTGCTCTTGTGGGGCATGACTGAGCTGCTGCTGAGTCCTCGGTGTCAGCAGGGATCAGTGGCGGCAGCAGATGGCTGTTTTAACACGAGTCCGTCTGTTGTGACTCACACCGAAGTGGCTCTCCAACCCTGACCGTACACACACACACACTCACACTCACACACAATGTGACCGGTCCACACACACAGCTGGGTGTCATCCTACCTCCGCCCTGACTTCTTCCCACGGCTCGCGTTGGTCTGAGGAGACACGGGTCATGAGTGAAGGAAAGGAACCGAGGTTTTTGTTTACTCACAGCTGCCGCCCGTCACTGCACTTTTGTGTTCCCGCTTCCTGCTGTTTCCTCCAGACTCAGGCAGAGAGAGTGTCCTGTAAGAGGGATGTAATAACATGTGACCACCACAGGAGGGCAGTATTGTAACGGGGGACGCGATGTGTTGTACATTTAATACAGCTTCTTGATTTAAAGGTATTTACTTAAAGGTATTTACTACCTTTAACGTTTTTGGTTATTTTGATAAACTCGACGGTATCAGTATTGTTTATTTTTTATTCATAAACCGTTAGCTTTAACCTTTTTGGTTATTTTGATAAACTCCACGGTATCAGTATTGTTTATTTTTTATTTCCACAAATAGAAAATGAATTTAAATAAATTTCACCCGAGTCTTATACCCTTTAGTACTCGCCAAATTAAACAAGCATGTCAGCCGAAAGTATAGCAAGACGCTATTGATTAATTTTAAGATAACTAAGTTATCTAAGTAGTTAAGTAACTGAGTCGTTGAACCTATATGAAAAAACTATCGTCTTACTTTTTGGGAAACAAAAAACGTCTCGAAATATATATGTTGTGAAATATATGAATTGGTCTTCGAGCCTCAATTTACTCAAATACTCCTTAGTGTGAAACCTAAACCTGTTCAATTGTACGCGCCGCCATTACTGTTTTTATAGCCATCTGCTGCTATCTAGTGGTAGAGTATTTAGTTGTCACGACACTCCTCTATCATCCAGATTTAGTTATTTCTCGATATCGTCTTGTCTCTGAATCGAGTGCGTCTTCACTCGGTCTTATTTCGGTGTCGGTCCAGCGAGACTCGATATTTTTTGTCCAGCTCAGTCGAGACCACAGCTACTGTGAATTATTTTAGAACCGTAAATGTGTGAAACTTCCAAATAATGCAACCAATATAGGATATATATGAACCGTAAATGTGTGAAAACTTCCAAATAATGCAACCAATATAGTCTTTCACTTTGAAAATGTTAACGATACAACCGACGGGCTGCCACCACGGTTGTGACAGGTCGACAACTGTACGGGTTTTACTGTACCAGTTACGGGACCCGGACGTCCCGTATTTTGATCATAATGAGAGAGAGGGAGCGAGAGTGTGTCCTTTATTTTCAGACTCCATTGGTAGTAACCCTATTTGACAGAGGTGTCGCCAAAGTCATCAATTATTCGATTTTCTCATTTAGACCAAAGAAGTTTATATGTAAGGTAACTGGGAAGAACAGACACTGCCATAGAGTGTACCATTTGTAAAGCGACTTTCACTGAGGCGGCTGGGACGACGTCAAACTTTTACCGTCAACTGGAACAAAAATGTCGATGTTGTTTCTGATTTGTCTGGTGTGTTTAACACTTCAGGTCCATCGTAAGGTTCTGAAGAAGAAAAAAAACATTTTTCAATATGACAAAAAGACAAATGATTTTGTTCATTCACTTTGGTCTCGGGTTAGGTGGTCTTGACTGCAACCCTAGTAAACATACTGTGCTAGATTAGCCACCAGAACACAAATTGTTCCAGGGCTACCCACTGTACACCCCTATCATAAGTATCCGTTTTATTATTGCCCCAGGCGTGCAGTAAGCAGCCACACACTCCTGTAAAGCTGAATTTATTTTCCTCAAACGTAAACCTATTTATTTTGTCCCTTCAGCGATTTCACAGGGAGCTCAGCGATGAGACGTGACTGCATTTCACTCTTTATTCATGAGAGCTGTCCCTTTTCTTCCGTTTTAATTTAAGGTTGTAATGCTAAATCAGTCCACACGGGGCCAGTATTGTATTCTGTTGAGTTTGGTTTAATATTTAGTTTTGTTTTTTTTTTTGTATTCACCCAAAAAGTTTTTGTTAAAGCGTACATAGATGTTTGAAAGATGCATTTTTAAAATGATTATGCTTTTTGGTCAAATATAACTTTCTGTGTACAAATATACATCGGATATTTTCCAAATATATCTAAATATACATTGGACATTTTCTAAGAAGACGAAAAGGAAATAATACAGGTCCTGTAAGTGTGAAAAATGAACATCTTACAGGACTGGCAGCGATTAATCATGTCTGATCCCAGAAGAGAGTTTCAATTATAGAAGACTGAAGTGACCAACAAGTGTAGGTGTGGGCTACAAACCGAGGGGGTCTATTGATATTCAGGCTGTCGTGTGCAGCGTAAGGGTGTGTATCGATTAGGTTATGAGTGTGATACGTCCTCTGAATCAGTGTGTTTCCATCTCTGTTGTCGCCTCTGTTCGTGGTCAGAGCTTCATCATCACTGTTGTGTTATTACTGGGCGATAGTGCTGCCTTCATTTCCTGTCCCCACAACAGCACTGGATGCAACGACGCCGGGCGTGCGTGTAGATGTGCACGCTTGGGTGAACGGACAGCTGTGTGTGACAGCACAATATGTGCCTTCTTCACAAAGGGATGCAATAAATGAACTACAGGCGGCCATTGTAATGGAGAATATCAGCATCACGCAGGAGGATCTGTTTTCTCGCCTTCTTCCACAAATGCAGCACTTTTTCCACCACATGCTACTAATACTAACAATCTCCAACATTTTTTCAGCTCTCCAGATGCATTTGCTGAGACCTAGCCGTCGTCTTTCATATACGGACGTTGCTTACATGCTACCCTATTTGCTCCAACCCCGTGCAGCCCAGTCAGTCAATTGTGAGTTGCCATAACACCAGGCTGTTTTTAAGAGAAAGCTGTCCAGCCATTGAAGCTAATTAGAAGGGCTGGGCAACAGGAGCTTGTTGACTTTTCCAGGGGAACTAGTCGAGGGCTGAAGGAAAAAATTGGCAGCTTGTTAGAGCGGAGGGAAATGGCTAGAGAGAACAAAGAAGAACCAGATGGAGGTGGGGAAAGATGGCATGGTTGATTGAAATCACCGCGTTGTATCGCAGGTGCACAATTCCCCTTTGATAACACACCAGTGTGCACCGCTCGGTACACACTGGCTCACACTGCAACCTCAGACTCTTCACACCTGGATTCACTGTGGAAGGGAACTGTCTCTGCCTGGCAGAGTCATTCACAGAGTCAGCGCTGTACTGTATGTTGTGTAAGACCTGACACTTTTTTTTTTTTTTACATTTCAGCACAATTTGCACTCTAGCTCACACAGACAAATGGAGCCTGGTATATCCTCGTTTTGTCAAATCTATCTATCTATCTATCCATCCATCTATCCATCCATCCATCCATCCATCCCTCCATCCCTCTATCTATCTATCATCCATCCATCCATCCAACATCCATCCATCCATCCATCTATCCATCCATCTATCCATCCATCTATCCATCCATCTATCCATCCATCTATCCATCCATCTATCCATCCATCCATCATCCATCTATCTATCTATCATCCATCCATCCATCCATTCATCCATCCATCCATCTATCTATCTATCCATCTATTTATCCATCCATCCATCCATCTATCCATCCATCCATCATCCATCTATCTATCTATCATCCATCCATCCATCCATTCATCCATCCATCCATCTATCTATCATCCATCCATCCATCCAACATCCATCCATCCATCCATCCAACATCCATCCATCCATCCATTCATCCATCCATCCATCTATCTATCATCCATCCATCCATCCAACATCCATCCATCCATCCATCCATTCATCCATCCATCCATCTATCTATCATCCATCCATCCATCCAACATCCATCCATCCATCCATCCAACATCCATCCATCCATCCATCTATCCATCCATCTATCCATCCATCCATCTATCTATCTATCCATCTATCTATCCGCTAGAAGCGCTAGAACTCTCTTCTCTCTCTCAGAAGATCTTAATTTTAAATAGTTATGTTATGCAACTTCTGATTCTAAAGAAATCTGAGTTCTAAGTTGTTGTTTCTACTTTATATCCTCTATCAGCAGTTATCTTTTCAAAAAGTTTGAATCCATTTGATCAGTTTTCTTATCTGTAAACTCACTTTCAGTTTGCACATTATTGGAGTACACTCCTTATCTTGGTAGTGGTGGCTTAGTGATTAAGGAAGGCTTCAGGTTCGAATCCACCAGCTGCCAAGGTACCACTGAGGTGCTCTGAGCATGGCACCGTGCCCACACACTGCTCCCCGGGCGCTTAAAGCTGCCCACTGTTCACTGTGGTGATGGGTTAAATGCAGAGGTCACATTTGGTTGTGTGCGGTGGTGTGCTGTGTCACAATGACAAGGAGTTCACTTTTCTTTCCTTCTAACTACCACTGGGACTGGAGATGGAAATGAGCTGAAAAGCTAAAAATCTGGTGCAGAACATCTTGAGCTTTTTTTTTTTCTGTTAAGGAAACAAGGCAAAAAAAAAATCTTATTTTTTACTCTATAGTCAGTCTTTTACATAAAAAAAAAATTTTTTTTTACTCTATAGTCAGTCTTTTACAAAACTATAAATTATTTATTGGACATGTTTGTGTTGTACTGTACAAACTGCACTCATACATTATTTTATGATGAATTTATTTGTTAGGCTTTTAAAGTGATTTAGAAGAAATGTAAAACTTTTGGGGTAGGGTACGCTCACACACACACACACACACACACACACACCATATATATAAGAAACGGTTGAGCATTCTCAGCTGCACGCTGTTGTTGCAGGAACTGCCTTAATTTGTACAATAGTCTATGAAAAAGTCAGGTTAGAGCCAGATCGCTCTACAGATCAAATCAGATGTATTTATATCCACTGGTCTCCATGAACATGATGTCAGATCTGCATGTCTGACAACTGTTGAATGCTGACGTAGAGCCAGACACAGTGTGGAACATCCTGGTTCACTCCCACGGCCTCCAGCAGATGCTCATCAGAGGATCTGGAAGAACATACCAGCTGCTTCAGGAACATCTGGGATTCCACTTTCCCATTTATCCAGGGTGACCTTACCGTCTTATTACACATGTGCACGCTCTGCCATTTCACGCAAACTTCATCGGATTGCACAGCAATGTCCTGCAACCTCCACGATGTGACAGCCCCCCAACCTCTTTTGCCC